TAGTGAAAATGGCCATACTTCCAAAACTGCTATATAGATTCAATGCAATTCCAATTGAGATCCCAGCAGCATACTTCATGGACCTTGAGAGAACAATGCAAAAATTCATTTGGAACAAGCTGATTAATCTCAGTGAGCCAACTAGAGTCCACTAAGAGACAGGATGGTTTCTGGCTTCAAAGCCTGAATTGAGCTTCCTGTGGACTTGAACTCTGCATGGTTCTGCTCCCCCACAGCAAGTCCGGGTTTGGGCAGGAAGTGCTGATCCCAACCACTCACCAACCACTATAATCCACTGCCTCTTTATTACAGTGACTGTCTTCACTCTCTTTCTGGGCTTCAGTTCTCAACAACAGGCCTTGGAGAGGTCCTCTCTGTGCTGCTCACCACTCTGCCATCTTCCCAAGCTCAGAAAGATGGTTTTTCTGCTCTCTGTGGTTGTCTGGCCCTGGCTGTTGCTCTTGCAGGCAGTGCACTGGTGATGACACACACAAATGGTCTTGCTGCTGATGGAGCACATGCTGGCAGTCCTGCTGGTGATGGCTTGGTGTTGATTTTCTTAAGTGGAGCAAATTTAGTTTTCAAAATACTGGTAAAATATATATTTTTATAAAAGAAAATTAGTTAGTTTAACTTTTGACCAATAGTTAAAGTAAGTAACCCCACTTCTTTTTAAAAATTTTTAAATTTTATTTAAATTTTTCAGTTCATGTAGTTCACAATAATCTTGGGGAGTGATTATGTGTACATATTACAACTTGTTTCTTTTTTTTCTTTAGATCTCCTTCCCCTTCTGTCCTTCTCCTCTCCCTCCTCCCCTAGTTTCCCCATCCCATTTTTCATTCCTGTTGATATAATGGTAAAGGGTACATTTATTTCTTAGTTAGATTCGGGACCAAGGAAGCTGAAGGAAAGCACTCTGGTTCCCTAAAGGCATTCATAGTCCTGGCTGGAATAGTGGTGTGGAGCTTGCGTGGGGCCACTAGTATCACCGCCTCCTTGTGACTCTTACAATAACATTATTCCTTTCATCATCCCTCTCACAGGGACATGTCAAAACTAGTGGTTTTACTAAATAGTTATTGCTGTTTCCTTTAACAGAAATGAAAAATTATGTGGTTTTTACTTTTACAATAATTTTGAAGCTATTATTTATCAGCAAGCTAGTATCAATTTATTAAATGCCAGCTTTTTAAAATTTCTTTTTTTAAACTTTTATCAACACATGTTTGCACTATATAATGCTGACAATCACTGTAGGTAATTGGTACACGTATATAACACATTGCAATGCCTTCTTTCCTCCCTCTCTCCACTCTCTTTTATTTTTCCAGCAACAGATTCATTTATTTATCTTATAAAAACTTATCAAGTTAACTACCATATATACTTGTAATTCAGACTGAGGTGGAAGAACATACAAAACATGTAAGACGATTGTACTAAATCAAGGTACACTTGTCTGCACTGAATATAATACCATTTTTATTTTTTATTTTTTCCTGTTATCTGTCATTTATTTCATTCTTTATGTCCATTGAGGTTTTATATAAGAGAGACCATGTGATATTTAAGTTTAAGTTACTTCACTTAACATTATGATCTCAAGGTGCATCCATTTTCCTACAAATGGTTTTAAATTTATCCTTCTTTATGGCAGAGTAGCGTTCCATTGTGTGTAAATACCACATTTTTTTGTCCATTCAGCTATTGATGGACATATAGGCTGTTTCCAAGATTTAGCTATTATGAATTGTGCTGCTATAAAGATGGGCAAATTTCACTGTGCTATGATGTCTTTAACACTTTTGGGGAAATACCTAGAAGGGGACTAGCTGAGTGAAATGAAAATTTTCTTGGGACACAAGGTTAGTTCAATGGTTCTCAACATGAGGTAGGTTTGCCCCTAGGGATTGTGAGGCATTATGTGCAGATGTCTTTGCCTAGCCTGGCTGTGGAGGTTTTGCTGGGTTACTTCTAGTGTCTAGGGGGTGAGGGTTCTGCACCAGCTCCTCCTGAGGGCTGCAAACCTCTTCAGCCAGGTCCTGTGCACCAGGCAGCCTCACAGGCATTGTTGGATGCTTTTCAGCCATTACTTGGGAGATGGAGACTTTGTGAAAGTTCTGTATATTCTCTGCTTTTACCTATTGCATATACATGTAATGGAGAAGAATGATTCATGGCTATCTTCCATGTCCCACATTATCTAACAACAGGAGTTATCCTGGAGCTCTGAACGATTTCTTTTTTATGCTTTTGAAAAAATTAAAGTTAACTAAAAAGATAGTATATTCTATGTATCCACTATTTAGAGTGAGCATATATTAATAGTTTCAATTCAATTAATTCTTGAAAAGAAAGAAACCATAGCTGAGAGTAGGAAATCCATTTGTTTCTGTCCCTAAAGTTCTACCTTTATTCCAGGAAATAATCACCATTATAATTATAGCTTGCATATACATAGTATCCATATTTTTCTAGTTTTGCTTGTAGGTAATAAGTAGTCTTATTACATGTGTTTTATAATATTGGCCTTTCCTTACCATGGGGTATATACTCAATGTTATTTCTATATTTAGTGGTCCAAAGAACAGAAACTAGAGCAAGAGCTGAAGAAAGAAAACAATAGAGTGCTTAGAGAAAAAAAATCATACTGGTAGGCAGCTTCACATTTGGTTATAGTGTCAACATGCTTTGTTAAGTTACTCTGAGTAGAAATCAATTGTTTTAACTTTTACATGTAGAATCCTGGTTTATTTCATGAGGCTTTGCTAAGTGATTTTTGTGATAGCAGAACAGACACTAGAAGAAGTGGTCATGTTGGAATCGTTACTCTTTCTGACCCTGTAATAATTCTCACCTGTCAGGATCTGTTTCCTTGTGTGTCAGTTTCCATTCTGTCATGACATCATTTAAAGTGTGGGTGTTTGAGAACGTTCAGTGCTATAAGTGTTCATGCAATACACAATTTGTGAAGTTTACTTTTCCAGTCACATTGTCACCTAGAGGATACTGTTATACAGGTCAACAGTTCACAAGGCAAGATAATTAGAGGTAGGAAAGGAAAGGGAGAAGTTAAAGATGGCTTTGAAAGTCCAGCTGAGCCCTCTGATGTTTGCTCACACCGTGATTATCATCAGAGCTATTTGTTCTAGCACCTCACAATTTGTATGCCTGCAAGGGAGAAGAGGCTGGGGAGACAATTACATTTCTTTGATTAAAGAAAGTTCACTTTTATGGTCTGAGGCAAAGTTAGGGAATGAACATGGTGGCTCTGGATCCCAGTGGAAATATGGGAGTTGTGTTGAGGCTGCAGGCCATGTTCACTGTGATCAGCGGGAGAAAAGTCATGCATGATGGAGAAAGTTAACTTTCTGTCATCATCTATACGGTGGCCCAGTGAGTATTGACCACTGATGGACATTTTAACAGTCAAATTCTATTCTCTGCCAAAGGACTGCGACAAGTGCCCACAAATGGCCCTGTGTATGTTAATAATTAGTTAATATGGGCTTAATCAAATGGTTGAATTTTATCATCTTCATCATGTTCAACATATCTTTAGGTCTGATTAATATATGCTGGATCAATGGCCTTATAAGCTATTTTTAAGTGGCACAAAAAATAGTAGGGTCCACTCTGTTTCTTCAGAAAAAAAATGGTTATCCATACACAAAGTCAACCAGGAGCCATCCTGTTTGAGTCAGCATGGACATTTTTGGTTCCTTTTCCTCATGGGATGATATGAAAACATTAGCACGTGTAATATGCACTGTCACCGATTCTGACCAAGGCTGAGAGATGATTAGGGGGATTGTGAAATATTTTTCCACAATGCTCTTGCTTTACATATAAACACATAACTTTTAGGTGTTGTGTATCCTGTGTCAGAAATGCTTGGCATATAAAATGTTTCAGATTTTGGAGATTTTTCTGTTTTGATTATGTGCACAGTTTTAATAGGTTATTTGCAAAGTATTCATTATATCTTGATATCACTCAAAATGATCTTTTTACCCTTATTACTTTATTTTTTATTAATGTCTTTTAGTATGTATTTGCATTGCATAATGATTACATAGATCATGGAGTTTGTACATGGACATAATAGAAACCCAAAATATAAAGAGCAAAATAAGGAGAGGTAATAAGTAGAAGATCTTTTACAAAATGATCCTTGATATCATTCAAAATAGTGGGGTTTGAGTCCTTTCAATGCTGCAAATGATCATGTGATATATGGTTTGAATTTAGATCCAGTTATGCAACTAATCCTTCCATGTCTAATGTCCCTGTGGATACTCTATGCAAATATTGTATTAATAGCTACAATGCATTTGGTGCTATGAATAACTTAGGAATGCTTTAGGTACAGTGTGACTCTGAGCTGCATTTTCCAAATGAACCTCTTCCTCCACTGAGTGATGTGAAGACTGACACTCTTTTCTTCATGGTGCTAGGGACAGAACCCAGGGCCATGCACATGTTAGACAAGTGCTTTACTGCTGAGCTGAACACCAGCTGCGCATGGGTCGTTCTCCAAAATAGACCATATACTCACTCATAGAACATATTTAGGTAAGTGCAAATGAATTGAAGTTATCCTCTGTATATTATCAGATCATAGTGCGATGAAATTGGAGATCAAAAGAAAAGAAACTACAAAAACTCCATAAACATATAGAAATTGAACAACACACTTCTGAATAACCATGGGTCACAGAGGAAATTAAAGAAGATATCAGACAGTTCCTTCAATTAAATGACAATGACAATACAACATATCCAAATCTATGGGACACAGTGAAAGCAGTCTTACGAGGGAAATTCATAGCAGTAAATACTTATATTAGGAAAAGAGAACAGCCCAATTAAACAACCTGATGATGAACTTCAAGCTTCTAGAAACAGAAGAGCAGGACAAACCCAAAGCTCATACAAGGGAGGAAATTTTAAATATCAGGGCAGAAATCACTGTAATGGAGTCTAAGAGAACAATACAAAAAATCAGTGAAGCCAAGAGTTGGTTCTTCGAAAGAATAAACAAAATTGCCAAACTCTTAGCCAACCTTTTCAGAAAAAGGAAATAAAAGGCCCAAATCCATGCAATTAGGAATGAAAAGTGTGAAATTACAATGGACCCAGCAGAAATCCAGAAGATCATCAATACCTATTTCAAGAATCTATACACCAATAAGATGGAAAATAGAGAAGAAACGGACAGATTCCTAGACAAGTATGAATTACCAAAGTTGAATGAAGAAGACCTAAAAATTCTAAACAACCCAATATCAATCAATGAAATTGAAAA